CCTAAGCCCTAAACCCGAAAGCCCGAAATCTGGAACCCCGTACCTCAAGAGCTCCCAAGGCAGGCGCCGTCCTTTCCCAGAGGGCCTGGGCTGACTGCAATACGCTTTCGCCGGCCTTGGCATACCATGCTTCGCGGCTTAGGGTTTAGGGTTTAGGGTTTAGGGTTTAGGGTTGAGGGTTTTCTGTTTCTTCTGGGGTGTTGTTCTGAGTGGAATACAGGAATACCGAAAGGGGTGGGTTTCAGGGTCAGGAGCTTATGGCTTAGGGTCCCTATTTAGGTCTCAGGGTGTGTAGGATTTAGCCTGTTGGGGCTTCGAGGGTTTAGGTTCCAGAGTTCTCGATGAACTCCCCTAAACCCTAAACCTACAACACCCTAACACTGAACTGAACCCAGCCTCCGAAAAACGTAAAGCCGAAACAGGGTCGAGGGTTTAGGGATTAGGATTGAGGGTTTAGGAATGCTTAGGGTATAGGGGCTTTAGGATTTAGGATTTGTGGGATCCCAAATCCTACAGCCCAAGTCTTAACCATAAGGTTTGGTATCCTACGCGGAACCCGGAATCCTACAGCCTAGCTGTGCGAGCTGTTTGTTGTAACGGGGTTAGGATTGGGACTCAGTGACTTTCAAGACATGCTATAATATAGAAGCACAAACAATTACCTATATTATTTTTGGAGTTCCTTATTATAATAATACTATAATATACCCCAAAACCTTGTTCTAATTATTAATATAAGGCCCTTACAGTACCTCACTGGCTTTCAACACTTGCTCTGCTTACTCTAGACTGCTCGCAGCCTGCTGTTGCTGCAGGGTTTTACTATGCACGCCAAAATAGAACCAACATAGAACTTTTGTTGACTTCCCGATATTTATCTATGGGTAGTTCTCTAACTTTGGGTCCCCCTTTTAGGTACGGCACCCTTATAACAAGGACCTGAAGGGGGATCCTAAACCCTAAACCCTAAACACTAAATCCTAAACCCCAAGCCCTAAACCCTAAGCCCTAAACCCCAAACCCCAAACCCTAAACCCTAAACCCTAAAACGACTACGGACCGAATTCTCGTCGAAGAGTCTTCCTGCAGGATAGGAGAGGACTAGTAGGATGGCAAACGGCAAGAGGGTTTGGGAGGGTCCAGTGGTTTGGGGAGGACTTTGATTGGCATTTTTCTGGTGTCTCGAAGGGTTTTGAGGGTTCAGGGGAGGGGGGGTTATTAATCAGCGTCTACATCATGCCACATATCACCATGGGGTGCGGGCATACAGCCTTTGGGTAACAGAGCCGCCCCCGATAAGAAGCCTTAAATATTGCAGTGTAGGATCTGGTTCTCCAGCCCTCTATGAGCTTTATGAAAGGGTGCTGCTTCAGGTCAAGCGCCAAGCCTGAATATTGAAAGCACAACGCCCAAGCGCGCAGTCAAGGTTTTGGCAAAGCAATGACCAGTTCGCACATGCGCTGTCAACTGTGCCTTGGGTGCCGGTGGCGGCCGGTTGAGTGGTAAGGTCCGAACTACCACACAGAATCTAGGGTGCCGTAGATAGTTCATTCAGCATGCACTACACTTCTTCAATTCCGCTGGCGCTGTGCTTTCGCCCTGAACTGCTGGCAGGGAGCATGGCAAATGCTCGTAGTGAAGACTGCTGCCTACACCCGAAAAGGAGATGCTTCAAGTGTTAGGAGTAACGTTTTGTCAGACTGAGGTGGCCTGTTAGGCGCCTGTGTAGTCAGGATCCGATACTTCGGATTCCTTTCAAGTTCCTTGGTAGTAGCATGGTAGCGGTGGTGGTGGTAGTGTTCGTGGAGTGGTAGTAGCTGTGGTGGTCGTCGTCGTTGTGGTGGTTGTTGGTGACGGTGACGGTAGACGGAGTGGTAGTTGGAGTAGGTGGCAACTGCACTTGTCATGACAGTAACAGGTCATCCCCGTGCATCTTAGCATTCTACTCGTAGCAAGGAAGACAGCCCCCTACCTTAGGCAATGTGGTGTGATGGCAATGATGGCGGTGCCCTGCTGGACGCACTCTTGCCCCTTGGCAAAGTTTGCACACACCAGAGGAACCAAAGCGGTTGAAGAATGAGAAACTCCCCCTCAATGTTGGTTTCAAATCTCAGGTTCATGTACCCAGTGCCGTTGAGCTGTGAGTATACTTACTGGCCAAGCGGCTTCGGAAGTGTGACAGGGTTGGACTTCCCGTTAGCATCGACATATGGAGTATTTGAGCGGACTTGGGACTTGAGGCCTTGTTGGACAGTTCCTGCTACGGGTTCTATAACTGGGCTATATATATATATATAAACCCTAAACCCTAACCTGATATAATATAGGCGTGTTTGTTGAATAGTTAAAGTGACATGCTTCCTTCCCAAGGCCCCCTCCTATCCAGGAGTTGTGGATGCATAACACATGCAGACGGAAAAGAGGTCCTCCTCCTAAACCCTATACCCTCAACCCCTAAATCCCCCTCCTAAACCCTAAACCCTGAGCCCACGCAACAGACCGAAAGTCTACACCCTGAACCCTGAACTCGCAACGCTTACTCTAGGACCTTCGCCCGTAAACCCTGAGGAGTTAAGCCCTAAATCCTAAAGCCCTGGGCCCTAAATACGAAAGTCTAAGCCCTGGACCCTGACAGTCCAAGTCTAAGGCCCTAAACCCTCAAATCCCTCCAGCACCCTGGACCCTATAAATAACAAATCTTAACACCCAAAGCCCTAAATCGAAACCTAAGCTGTAACGCTCTAAGCGACAAAGCCTATTGCGGTAAGGCCGAAGCAAGTCCTATAATTCCTAGTAAGCCCTAAACTTTGGGCCCTAAGCCCTATTAAACCCTAAACCCTGAACCCTAAACCCTTCCTTGAAA